AAATGGTTAAATTAATTGGAAAATTGGAGAATTGTTCCGATTTCCTGAAGAAGAACATTACGTTATTTTGCGATGCAATCGGCATTAAAAGATTTAACTTGTAGACAGGAAATACCTCCAAGGAAGTATACAGAAAAACAGTCAGGATAGTTCAGAGTCAATTCAAGTGCTTTTGCACTAAATTTGAAAGGGAGATTCCTATTTGGAGGACTATTCTAGCAGTCGGCTGTTCTTAGTGGCATTTTTTGGTGATTTTTCCGATCAATGCTACACGAATGTCGGAACAATGCCCAAACAAACGGACCGCGGACCGCGCGATCTTTCCTCCTCCTTGACCTATCCTCACTTCTTAATTATACAACTTTCGCTTACGTAATACACATGTGTCGAGAGACCAACTTCCGCTTACGTTATACAACTACAGTTGTCGGGAGACCAGCCAGGGATGTAGAGTTTGCCCTGGCTGGTGCGGAACGCTACCTAGCGATGGAAAGCCGTAAGACGACAAATAGACCCATCGGGGGCGGTAGTCTGACATCTCTCTGAATATATCATGTACTACACGTACGGGTATAATGACGTAAGTAGTTTACGTGCCAGGAATCTAAACTCACACTCTCGTTACAAAAAGAGGGAAAAAATCTTTAAAATTGATGCCGTGTTTTTCCTCAACGCGGCCGTCCACTCGGCGTTCAGTTGCGACGCCAACTTCACTCCCGTCGCAGCTGACTCAGTGTAAATATCTCTCGTGAGCTGTGCTTTGAAGCACGCGTGCTGAGCAGGTGTCTTCCGTTTCTTTACTGCAAAACCTCAGAACTGCACGTTCTACCCACAGGTAATAGGCGCGTGTGTCGTAGTAAAAGGCGCACGCTGATACTGTTTGATACTGTTGGTGATATCATAGGTATTCACACAAAATTAGAATTTGTTATCGCTCATTTGCCCTGGTTTATTACGCATTACATACAACATATGAGTAATTTCAACTTTTATTGTTAGCTGTATAGTAGTTTGTATCGTGTTAAAGGGAATTTCTTTCCTTGAACATGCAAGTCATTTTTTTCGAACATTGTAAGAAAAGAGTGGAAAGTCAGTTTCTGCAAACCAAGTGTGGGCAGCACGTTTGTGGTTTTTTTTGGAATACAAAATAATAAATAGTATTTTTGTCTATTTTCTTCCGTTTTCAAATCAAACTAAAGCTCATATTATTCAAACATTAACAATTAACGACGTTCATTTACGGAGGTTTATGATCTGGGATATTTTGCTCGTTACGAATAAGAGTAAGGTTGTAATGTTTTACAGGTTTCTAAAAAATACGACCACATAAAATTACATATTGCATTCTGTTTCTTTTCTTACAACAATAGTATAGGTTTAAAATAATTTATTTTCTGTCGTAGCATTCTTTTCAAGCTACATTTATTTACAACTTTGCATACCTCTTTACATGACAGATAACCTTCACATCAATACTGCATCTTCGAATACGTTTACTTCTTACACCACATCCAATCTTTCACATCTCAACTTTATCTTTGCAGTGTATGTATATGACAATTCTATGTATGTGAGGAGTTCGATAAAAAAGTTTAAATTCATTAAGTGGAAGATATGAAAAATCAAAGAATTGGTTTGAATATATTCTCAAGCAGGTTTTCAGATATATTTTCTTGCTTTACCTATTGTAAAGCACTTATTATCACGCAAAGTCTCTTTCAGTTTCAGAACATGTTGTTGTTATCATCTTTTCTCCTGCTACAATTGCTTAGTCGTCGGCAAATAAGAGGGTATGTAAGGTTTAATCACCTATGTGCATTACCCGCAGAATATAGCTTTCTCCACAAAATGTTCAATAGTGTTGCACACAAAGTACAACCTTGCCGCAGACCTTTACGGTATCGGAAACGTTTTACTACTTACACTGCATTCGATTTCAAAAGATGTCCTTAAATAACTAACTTTTAAATCGATTTCCTGAACATTCTTGGTTATCGTTTGGTGGCTTTTCTAGACTCTTCACTATCTTGAAAATAGTGCTATTCACAGATTAGGTTTCGCTATATTTTTATCCATTTTATATGCTGCATAAAACGCAGTATAATGGAAAGTCACTGAGCTAGAACGAATGCCTAAATTGCAAATTAAATTGCTGTGAAATGCACACAAATTTCAATGCATAAGAAAATTTGAATAAAAGAAGTTGGTTCAAATATTTGTGGATACTCTAATCAGCAATGTTGTTTTTACAGTGATTTAGTAGAATGTCTTACTACAAAATATTTGTATTGAATACTGTAAGCCTTTGTGTGATGAGAGAATAAGTAATTGCAACACTTATGCTGCATGTTTCTAATACTCATTAGCTTCCGAAGGTAACAGTAACTACTGGTTTACATCAGCAAAAATGCTTCAAAACCAGATTATGACGATCTATTCTTCAACAGTTGTAACTTGAGATTTCAAGAGAATAATAAATAATAAATGAAGCTTATTTTAACAAAATAACAAAGAACTCTGCGATGACGTTGAATCTAGCTCGTTCTGAACGATAATTATGTAGAAAGAGAAAGGAAGAAGATATGATAGTTTTGAGATGTAGATTGTATGTTCACTCTCGGAATGTGTTAGAATGAGCATTAAGCAACTTGCATGCTCCGTAGAAACGAAATCTGATGTTACTAGCCAACTTCCAAGTTCTTTCTTTTCTCACAGGAATAAAAAGTGTAGTACTCAATAATTTATGTAGTGCTACATGTTATTACCATTAACGTGCGATATTTTATATCTGGTAGGCAAGTTTAGTTTAAAATATTAAAAATGATTCTCTATAAATATAAATTGTATCATTAATATTACGTTTTAAATTCATTAAATAAAGTAGAACGTCAATTAAATACCTCCCACCAAAACTGTAATTTCTCTCAGCGAAGTCAACAATAAGGTTTTTTCTTTCTCGTCTTGATATAAGTTTTAATCTTATTTTCGATGAATACACGTTTTTGCAATGTATTTGTTATCTCTCGTGCATGTCCTTTGGAGGTACAACTAAAGAGACTATGAGTCCAAATAAGTTTGTGTTGACATGCACAGATTGTAGATTCATTTTGTTTTCATGAAATCTTTATTAAGAGCACGGAAATGATTTTTTTTTAAAAAGTTATCCAAAATAGGCAACCTTTCTTCATGCCGCGAGAAACACAGACAAGAAAATTAATGACACATGTTGCATATAAATAATACTTGAACTTTCACACATGAATTTCCCTGTCTAAGTATAAAATTCCTTTAAGATTAGATTATTCTTAGGAATTCTGTCAAAACAAATAAAAATGTGGAATGTCGGAAATTCCCAGCTCTTAAGTATATTCATCTCGAAAGCGAAGATGATATCTTCGAATTGGATTTATTCCTATATTGGTTGTGTTTCCGTTCGATGATGTAGAATCTATCGTGTTCTTTTAATAATTTTATTTTCATGGTTGAAAGTTACCGATTTGTTATGTTTATCTAATATTCAGTATTTTAACTATATTCATTATTCGTAATTTTAATTTCTTGTTGAATTGTGATAAGTTTTGCATGAAACCATGCGCATTTAACGTTTATAAATATTGAAGTGCTTACATATCTTTTGTTAAAAAAATCTTATCCGCACACGGTTTCTGGGGTCTTCATTTTGCCTGAGGAGTGAGGGAGTTCAGGTTATTTCGACAAGACTGTTAAGTAAAATCTGTAGCTCGTTTTAATTTGTAAAATATTTTCTATTATGTGCGAGCGAATTCTTCTAGTAATTAGATTTTGTTAATAAGTCTCGTGTCTAACATTTATTCATATTTCAACTAATGTTAGTAATGCAGTGAGTATATATACAGAGAGAGAGAGAGAGAGGATAATTGATATCAAGAAATATTATGTATTAAAACAAAATATTTATTAGACTGATTAGATAGAAAAACTGATTTAGACTCGTTTAGTGTCAATAAATGTGTGGAGGTGTTATGTAATTCTGTAAAACAATCGATGCCCATATTTAGACGTATATACACATTCTGAGGGCTTCTAATTTCTAAACAGGATTATTTCAAAACATATTTGTTTGTTCAATCATCCATCTTCAAACAGCACTAACACCAAAACCGTATTCAGAACGATCACCAACATTGATAACCCTCAATCTCGCTAATGTATTGCGCTTGAATTTAAAACTAATCATTCAACTTTTGAGAGCATTTTATGAAGTCCCTATGATATTTTCAAAATGTTTTGAAACTTGTTTCAAATCTTCTCGTTTCCATGCTTCAAGTCCCTTTTCGTTACATTTACATTACGTTTACGTTTCGTTACTTTTATTCTTCTGCACTTAAGATGTATTTTCAATTTGATGTATTTGATCTCTTATAAACAAATAATTCATTACCCAACGAATTCTTTACACTCGAATTACGTAGAACCGCGGCTTTGACGTGAACGCTGAATTAGTCTATAGAAAAAGCACATGCGTTAGGTGCCTCTAAACGAAATATAACAGAATATTACCGGAATCAAAGTGGACGAAAGGTGCAGAATGTAGTTAACTTTTTAAGACAGTAACTAATTTTAAAATAGTAGTTGAAATGTTTATTATTTAATGAAACTTCTGCCGATGTACAAAATATCACAAGTAAATAATATTGTGGTTTTTGTCCGGTTTTCCTCCGATCTTCAGAGTGGAGGGTGAGATAGAATTTGAATTGCTACCTTCTCCCCCAATTACTTACTCCTCTTGAGCTTTTGTGAGTTGCTTACTCTTCTCCAATCGTCACAGGAAGCTACATTGATATTTTTCCGCAATAAAAGTTGAGTTATTATTATTATTATTACTATTATTATTATTATTATTATTATTATTATTATTGAAAACTGTACTTTGTCTTGTACTTTGCCTCTCAGCTTCAAAACACTCTTCTCACACATGTAAAGAATGAAAAACCAGAAGTAATTTCTCAGAATATTCCTAGCTTTTTGCCACGCCCTTGTCATTGTTTCCAACACCCCGACACCGCCTCTCCGTTATCGAGCGACATTCCTCAGTAGCTGACGCTACTGATTTATTCAATGGCACGCCGAATTATCTAGAAGCTGCCGTCTACCACTTGCGAGAGGCGATTCAGCTGTCGTGCACGGAAAGGTCTGAATTCAGCGTTGCACTGTGATCCCGAATCCCTAAATCGTTCTCATGAAAGGAAAAATAAAAGGTTTATTAAGTTATAACTATTGGATTGGTCGTAGTCGTACCACTACTTCACAGAAACACTGTGAGCAGAAAGCATTCATACCCGCTCAGAGAATGCGGTCCTAATCTGTGCGTCTCTCGTGAAGTGCGTCTGTCGTATCGTACTCAATCCTACTAGAAAGTTATTTGAACTAGCAGTTCTATTGCGGCGTTCTGCGATTCATTGATTCGATTTCAGTCGTTCAAATCTGTTTCACAAGAATGGTGGTAGCGGTGGGGAGATAGTGAGATAAACAGTCAATAAATAAGGCGTGTAACAGTTCTTTAAAGTTTTTCAGAAAATGTTATATAGTAAAATTATACCATGGATTCTTAATAATTCTCAGACCACACACCAAATAAATTACTTACTTCTCGTAATCACATTCGGCTTAATTATAAACACGCACGTTAAATTATTTGTTATTAATATATTCACATTATCATGTATATGCATTATAATAATCACGGAATATTTTAGTATAATTATATTGTTATTTAATTCTTATTTATGCAGTAAGCATTACGTTATCATGGCTATTCAAATAACTGCATATATCTGAAATTTTGGGGCGTTTCCTTCAATGTACACTGACACACTGCCGCAAAAATGAAATTAAATGTTAATTGGAAGTCAACTGATTGCAGCGATTGAATATGCCGGAATTGCGTAATGTGCATGTCCCGTCCAACTATTGGAATCTCCAATCAATCGTTTTCACAACGAGTAGCACTGTCTCTGATCCAGACTTCGGAGATCGCGTTCATGGGTAAGACGTCATTGCCTTACAATTCTCACGTGGAATCCACAGGCAGGACATGCATAAAAATTCCTTATCTACAGTCACGATCTTACTCCGTGTCGCTCTCGGACAGAAGAAAGGTCATTGAATAGATTATTTTAGGACCTCTTCAGTGCCTAACTTTTGCTGAAATCTGCAAGGCATAACTTAAATAATCTCACTATAAACATATGTTTATCATGCTGTAAAACCAATATTTGCAGAAATTTCAAATGTGTTTGAAAATGTGTGAACAAATGATTTGAGAATAAAAATTCATTCTTTCATCATTTAAAGTCATTCTTTCACAATAAGTCGATGGCATTGCCTATGTTTTCGTAAATGATTTGACTATTATATAAATAAACATTGAGTTTTGGGATATCATATTATGCCGTATGCCATGTTCCATGTCAAATAAAATGGATGCACATCTTTCCGTAGCATGCGATAACTATATATCATTTAGAAATATGTAAATTTAATCATTGTACTTCGTGGTTTGCTCCTGTCGCATTTTCTCTTAATCCGCTGTGTATCAACGGTTGAATAAGATAAATTATGCTTCTACCTATTCTTTGAATTAATAAAAATTTGAGCAGAGGTAGGAAAAAAATATTGTGGAAATATTCCCAGATAGATAAACTGCAGGTAGTTTGTTTTCTTCAAGTCTTACAAAGAGTTTTTATCAGTTGACGTTTGTCTGTGTGTTTGCCACTATGAACGTTGTTGTTATCTGATTTGTGACATAAATACTTCACTAACATTATAGAAAATTACCAAAATAATAATTTTACCAAGCGGGGAGGAGAAATAATCTATCAATTTTACGTGAAACGAATTACTATTACTACTTGTTGATTCTACACAGTAGATTAACATTTTACACAGTTAAATAAAAAGTATTAATCTGTATTTCAATATTAATAATTGACAAAATTGTTGTACGTTTTCGGTATTTCAAAATATCATCTGCATATTATAGTAACTTTATATATCATATATATATATATATATATATATATATATATATATATATATATATATAACATTATAATATCGTTACTTAAGTAAAGATATTCTCGAGTTATGCGCACTATAACTAATTTTAATGTAATGGTTGACATTTGTTGAAGAAGGTTGTGTTTTCATAATGTAAACATAAATCAATGTAATGACAAGTCTTACATTATGACATTTTTTAATTTCTAATTAGTTTTATGCGCTCCATCTCGTCAAGAACTACGCTGAAGGGAAATTCAGAGGTGCTCATTGGCTTTTCTCTTCTACATGTAATGTATGTTAATTAAAACTACCTTGTACATTTTGCCAATACTCAGTATCGTAGCAAGGTCAGAGGAAATTCTTTGGTTTGAATATTTAATTTTCGTTTACGAATTACTAAAGTGTCTGTGACATTTCATAACTGAGTTCTGGGCTATCCGCACGTATGAACCAATCCCGAAATTTAATTTCTTTGCAATGAAGATAAGAGCTACGAAATTAATTCTGTCGTACGGTATTCTGCACAGTTTAGCAGAAAACTATCTTCGAGTCATGGTTAAAACAAGAACATTGGAATGGAAAATCCTCTGAATTCAAACTTAGTGGCCAATAAAACTTCCCATCAAGAAGAAATCACAGATATAATGTTGTAAAGAAAATACGATTATACTTCTTTCAGGTTGCTGTTTCACATTTAAATTAACTGAAATGAGGTTAAATGTAATGCGTATGCAGGAATTCATGTCAATTTAGAAATGGTAATTCATTTTAATAATCCATGAAAAGTTGATTCAAATATTGTTTGAAGAATGCAATATTTATTACGAATATAAACATGATAATCTTAAGAACGCTTCAGATGGCATTTTCGTATTGAGGCTGCGTTTTAACTTACCGTCTTTATAGTGCCGTTAAGAACATTTAGCGGCTGATGGAATAGTATTTTCTTCAAATGCATTTGTAAGTTAGTTCACTCCCATGCGGAATTCAGAAACAAACGTTTCAGTGAACAACAACCCAGTCAGTGACACAGAGAAGCTTTTTGATTGATTTGACACAGAGAAGCTGACTATTAGCAACAATAACTGAAAGAAATATTCATTAGTAAATGTGACTCTATTAAAAAGGGGACAACACTATTTGCACTTGAAAGTATGGTTTGATGAAGGAATTTCCTACATTCGCTAACTTGTTTCTCACATTAAATTTCATGTAGATAGATAATTTTTGCCCTATTTGGCATGCAATTTTCAATTCTTGTAACTCAAAAGCAGCATTGCCGTACTTGCCCTCACATATGCCGAGACAGTAGGGTTGAAAGAAGTGCCGTTAAGGAGCAATAATTAATTTTATTGCCTTTCAACACTGAGAAGAAAATGAGCAACAGTATATTCTGGATAAAAACTCATAATGAACCCGGCATGGATTTTCAGCTGCTTCTTAATACCCTAACGAAACCATTATAAAGGTAGAACTGAGGTGTGTGATATAAAGGTGGGTGTGTGTCTGTGTGTGTGTGTGTGTGTGTGTCGGTATATGTATGTATAATCCAGTTCTATCATGCAATAATTTAACTAAAACTCGTCCACAAAGCAGCTCTCTAGCTCATGACTCCAGCTCTCGGTCTCAAACCAACAACTTATCTACAACGAATATTCGGAGTCTATTTCATTTTTCCAACAAGTACAGTATTTCCCATTTTGCCTCTTCTCCTTTTCACACACACTTATACTTCTATGTACCGTACTCAACTGCCAAATTGATCAGCAAACCACATCAAAGCGTAGTGCCCCGCTGGGGGAGGTACCTAAAGAGGGGAAACCTCGCAAGCTGATCTGTATGTCAGCGGCGAATCTCACTTTCCAGCGGGGGAGGAACGCCGCCACATTTCTGAATATAACGAACTAATAATTACAAGATACAAAAAATGATCAATCAGGAGAGAAAGTTCGTCTGGGAACATGCGTAAGCTGACTGTAGTAGGTAGGTGCCAGATCTCATGATCCAGTGAGGAACATTCTGTCTACTACCTACTAGTAGAACCGACCATAGTAGGTGACCCTCTGGAAATGATTATTCACTCATTAAATCACTAATTGACCCTCTCTCTCTCTCTCTCTCTCTCTCTCTCTCTCTCTCTCTCTCTCTCTCTCTCATGCACTCTTGCATTCCCTCAATCGCTTGCTAATTCACCGGTCATATTTAGATATGCCTGTCGCTATGCCACGGCTGCCCCTGAGTGTGTGATGGTGAGAGCGTGCGTGTGGTGTTCGCAGGTTCATCTGCCCATGCTCGCCGTCGTGGGCGGGGCCCGGCCAGGAGGGCAACCCCAAGCTGGGGAGGCTGATGCACCTCGTGTCGCAGACAGACCTGTCCATCACCATCTGCCCGGACGGCACCGTTAAGGGCAGCCCTGGCCTTGACGAGTATGGTACGTAGTATTACAGTCATTATTCCTGCTCCTGTGGCACGATTTTGTAGGACGCTATCGAACCCGCGATCATTTCATCCGAGATCGCCACGGCACTACTCTCTTAGCGATCTGGTCTATCCGGAGCGGCGTTGTGACACGATTGGTCGTATTGATATTGCATAATGTCGAAAAAGCGCGGACGACATTTTATTAAAAATACATTTCGGATTTTATTTAGATGTTTATCGTGTGAAAAGTTTTTATTCTAACGATATGCCATTAGTCTAATTTTGATTATACTGTTACAGATACCAAAAACTAAACAAAACATGAGAATTGTAGATTTTCTACCAAACCCAGTAGACAAAATGATAATATTGGGTAACGAAAAACAAATCATCGCATTAATTTAAATTTATTCTACATATTTTATTCCATATACATTTTTTTCCCATATACACTATTTTGGAGACTAACATCTTAGTCGTCAGTCGAGATGTATGAAAGGTTGCCTACGGTCAGGCGTAGTCTATTCCTTGTTACTTCTTTTTTAAGAGGATCAATAATATGGATATTTTGGTGATGCACTGCTTTAACATTTTATATTTATGTGTTTTTTTACAATCAATACGCATTCTTTTAAGGATAAATCATATAGAATATGATTTATTGTCATCGTGTTCTTGGTTTGCGTGGGTACTGTCGATACGAAAAATTCCGATAAAACGTATATCGCGAAAATTGGGATGTGTGTGAACGAGTAAAAACGGATAATAATTTCATTGATTTTTAATTTATTATTTTTTTTAATTTTTATATACTACAACCATCGACGATAGGGAACCGTCTTCAGTGTAACCTCATCTTTTTAGTATTTTTGTTTTCCTTTTAACTTCATTTATAACTTAGTACAAATGGATCTAATTTTTAATGTTTTGAAGAATGGTATAGGCATCTTGCAATTAAAAGAAAATATTATTTTTTTTTAAATCCAACAATCCTAATAATTTACACCATTTCTTTGCTGGTATGTTCTTTCGATGCAACGTCGATTTCGTCATTAGTGTCAAATCGTAGTGTAGTTGCATGTATTTATTGATCTACATATATAGTGAGCCCTTGTTCAAATATCAACAAAATAAGAGATGATTTGTGGTAACAATTTATAAACGGCTATGACGCTTGGATACTCTCAAAAAAATGGAAATAAAAAAAAATACAGAATGTTCATTTGATTGTATCCAAATTGTAACATGTTTGAATTTATGGACGCAATTTCAAAATAGCTGGTTACCCGCCGTTGCGGCAATATTATTTATCACAATTATCTGTTTTTAGTTTAAAAGTTTCTTCAATTTGCACGATACAGTTTTATTATACTCTACGCATGTATTATTGTTTTGAAGAAAATATAATTAATATTATGATCTGCATGTGAAGTTGAGTGCGCGTAATTAGGTTCCTCTACTTCATTACATCTGCAATAAGGAATAGTTATTTCTTTTTTATTCTTGTATTTTGTATTGGGTTGCTAAGCGTGAATTCCGATAGGGCGGTATATTTTGTTGAGATTTGAATAAAAGTAGGTGATAGATACATGTATGTAATGTGTTAGATTATTTGCTCTAGGTGAGGCTAGGTCTAGCTCTTTGTGGAGTTGTTGGTTTGAAAATGGTACATTTGTTATTGTCCTGGGATACAGACTTTGGATACATTGTATTTTCTATAGCTTTGTTTTGTATGCATTTATTCATATGAAACAAACGAACAATAGGGGATCAAACAACAGATTTATATAATAATAGTGCAGTATCGTAAGGCAAATAGCTTTTTCTGTTTATTACTGGTTTTAGTTGATGCAATTTAGTTTTGGCTTGATTGATGTTGATGTAATGTTGTTTAATGTAATCGATGTTTAGTACTAGATATCGCCTTGCTTTAGTTAGGAGAAACAGTTGGGAGTACTATGTCTAATGTCTAATGCTACGGAGAATGGGTTTATAGGATCTGAATATGAGTATTTTTGCTGCAGACTTAACTGGGTTGAGCAAAAATTTGGATTTGAATACCCAGCTTTCGATTAGTTTTAAATATAGCTTAAGGTTAGTTTTAGTGTGTTAAAGAGTAGTTTCAGATGTGTATATGGCTTTGACGTTGGCGATAAATGCAATTTTAATCCAAATCATTTTGGTGATATCAGCTACGTAGAAGTTGAAACATATTGGCAAAAGGAGGAACCTTCGGGCAATGCAGACATTGTTGCTTTAGAATTACAGTGATGGCTGTTTACGATTGTGAAAGACAAACAGCTTTTAAGATTTTTTAAATTTGTTTCTGCAATGCAGGGTGAGATCCGAGCTTTTTTATTTTATAAATTAATGCCTCATGCCAGACTACCGAACAATCGTCTATTAGCAAATTCGTCCATTAACATCCATTTCCCATCATCTCCACAAAACACTGGCAACACTGCCTTTTAGAAGTTATGCGGATTGCTTCAAGGGGAAATAGGAAGATTTTGTTGTCAAGTATTGTTTACAAGTTTCCTTAAAAATATTTTTTATTATATGAGAAGTCCGCCTTTCGCTAGGCTTAGATGCCAATACTTTTAGATACTGTTACATAATGTATCGCAAAAATACTGGAAGACTTAGACACACAGAAAGTAAATTGAAAACTTTATGTTGTTAAGCTTACCAATGTAACAATATCTCAAAACGAAGCACTTATTGGAAAATGATTATTCTGATGAGGCAAGTTATCGAGGGAACGTGTTCTGAATGTTGCATTTTTGAAGTCCATTTGTCGAAAGTTGATATTTTTAACACAAAATATACCTTTTTTCAACTTTTATTTGTAATTGGAAACTGAAATTTTCAGGAGTAATAGTATAATACATTCTGCAGAACTTTATTTACTACAAAATTTGTGAAAAACGGCATTGTGAGAAAATATTTGTATCTAAAAAATAGTAAAGAATTTTTAAAACTATTGTTGCAGTGTTATCTGTGTGAGTGATGTATCTGTAACGTGGAAAAATTCCATAAGTCTAACATCAATATATTCGGAGAATTAGATTCAAACATTTAACATTGCCAGGATAGAGCATGCCGTATCCCCTTAAGCAAACTAGTAAAAACATGTTGAGTCAACATTGTGAATCACAGCCCAATGTTTTGAGTCTGTCTCTCAAACACATCCGTTCAAAGTGTGGAATGTGGAAATTTCAGTGGTTTAAAAGTGTTTTGTAGAACATACGCACGTAGGTACCAGACATAATTTTCTGGAATACGTAAGATGTAGGTTTCAATGGAAATGCGTTCTTTCTAAGACAATACAAAATATACCAACTTTAAATTGTTTCACTCACCTAATTGTTATTCGGCATATCAAATAGGTTTATTTTAAGCTGCCATTATATTTATGAGACCGACCTGTTTCTAAATGAACCAAGTGAAAATGCGTCGAATGAACAAGGAGAGAATTCGTCTACTGAATGAGGGAGAATAACTCTACTTTTGGCTGAATTTCCTTTCAACTACTTCCTAGCGCAAAGTTGTTTTTTCCTACCTCTGTTCTTTAGTGTAGCGTGCAGTTTCATGTCGATTATACATAAAGTAAGAAAGTTCATTCCATGAAACTTTCTGTATCTTCCGAGAAAGGAAGTGACTTTCACGTTTTGTGGTTTACTCTGCAATACCTGTCAGATATGTAGTAGGCTTCTGGTACCGATTAAGTTATTTTTCCACGAATTAAAACTTTAATCAGCTCTATATCACTTCTTTCCGTTATATTGACGAGTCATTGTTAGGTGAATTGCCTGTTTCCTCGAAAGTTTATCGTAAATTTCCATCAAAGAAGGCCTGGTGTGAATAAGGTGTCGGCGAAACAGAAGAATTCTAGGAATGTTGTTTTTTCTGGAATATACTGGTTACTGTCAGCATATAATCTTGAAATTCTTAACGTATCTTCTTTAATCAAACCCACACAATATATTTTTTCGATACGTTAGCAAGTGTGATGCAAGATGAGACGATAAACATCCAATTTTTTCAGATCGTGCATTAAAAACACGTGTCAACTATTTGAGAACCTAGGTCTTTCTCGACAAACTTTGTCGTATTGCATCACATTCGATCCAATTGAAAGCGTTAATATATCACACCCATTCTAGCATCTTAATGTGTTATTATTCATAAGTTAAAAGTATATGAATGAAATCGTTTAAAGATTAAAATTTGAAGAACGAATTTCATTTTTTAAAAGTAAGTTATCTTCATTATTGTAGCTGCCAAAAAAAAAAAATTGCTGAACTTTTTGGACCTGGTCATCACCCAGATTGAACAGGGATATGCACTTTGGTCAATTTGGTATATGATTTAGGCCATGACGGACAACAGACAGTTAGGCAGATTTACAACGGTCAGACACACACAACTCGTATTTCCGTCAAACTTTCGACATTAATTTGTTGAAGCATTACGAATTGATTACTTTCTCTATACTACGTAACGAAAAAGCAAAAATGAGTGAAAAAATTGTATACACACCAAAAATACTGAATGAAATTTCCAAATTTATTTATTTAATTTCGCCAAAAACAGTTAAAAATGTGTGTGACGTGCTATGGAGAAAAGTTAAATTCAAGCTAGATTTATATCCTTAAGCAAAACAAGGGGTCATATCAGCATTTGCTGAAGGATCACGGAAACTGTACGAAAACCTGATCGAGATAGAGTCATTGAGTCATCGAGATAGAGATCACCCAGAAACTGAAGTACTATACTTGCACAGATACTTAGAATTGTACAATTCAATATTCCAAGCTTGCTTGATTATTTCACGTTTCCGGGCGAGTCAACTGCTACAGCCATAAACCCGTTAGTGTAACTCAAATTTTTTGCCACGAGAGGTGAGTGTTCTTTCTCAGCTGAATTGTGAGATTCATTACCGACCTGCACGTCGCCTTGAGGAGTTTCTCCCATTCAGGTATCTTCCACAAGAAGGGCACAGCCCCAGCTGGGACAGACTCTAAGCTCCTGGCATGTGAGCAGTGTAGTGCACGTAAGTGTGTGTAAGTAAGTGGATCAGGATAAGACAAGGCAGAAAAAAGAAAAGATTGCGCTCGGCCCGTGGCCCCCTTTTGCTAAGATATTGCTCCGGCATTTGCTTGGTGTTACTACCATGAACCGGAAACGGATGATACATGTAACTTAAAACAACTGTTTACACATCCAAATGAAACAGAAACCTTGAAGAAAACGATAGATCCTTGAGTGTCGACGGACCAAGTGATCTAATACCGGAAAAAGGAGTTGAAGATCGCTTCAAAATCTGCTTCCTTCGACCGTCGGCGGCGCAGGCCGTGCGGGGCAGGCCGGTGTCTGGCGTAGGGCGGTGGCGCGGCCGCGGCGAATCGAGCGCGCGGCGAGCGGTCAGGCGTCCGCCCACGCCCGCGGGCGTCCGGCGCTTCGCCCACTGCAAAGAGGCGCGCCGTCGCCTCCTTCCGGGAGGGAGCAGCCCAAGCACGTTTCCTACGCTCTCCTCTGCCCTCAACAAACGGCTTCTTGCGTCTTTGGGGAAGCGGCTGCGACGGCGCAGTGGCGGGTGTTCGGATGCTTCACCAATGTGGCTGGAAGATATCCTGACGATGGTAGATTTTCGATTCTAGCTTCATACAGTCGACTCCGGTTATAGTGAACTTCTGGGTTCACTATATTCGATGACGTCAAAATTAAGTAGAATTTCTCCACAATGAACACTTATATGCACTACCACATCACACTGAGATAGTGTGATGTGTGATCACTCAAGTCGAGAGGCAAATCGGGAGCTTACAGCTTCTCCCGGCTGGGGCGGTGACCCTAACCTGATACCTGAAGGGGTATCCCCTGAGAGACAACGCTTAGGTTGTCGCCGGGTCTCACTAACTAGTGAGAAAAGACGTCACCGTTGCTTCCCGTGATAGCAATATTCACTACCTTATTGGGACTAATGGTTACAGCAATTTATGTGCCCGGAAACATCAATCAATTAATCGACCAACTGCTTGGTCTACAGAACCCCTGGCCTCTCTATATAACTTTCATCTCGTTTACAAAATTTGGTACAATTGTAACAATAATCTCATATCAGTGCTAAATGCATCAGCTCTCACGCCTATAAATGAATATTTCCCTTAAAAATTCATATTCCCTTAAATGTCAGAAACATTTTCATAATAGTAATAAAACGAAATGTTCCGATTCGTAAAACAAAAAAGTATTTAGACATTGGCCCTCTACTTGGACTAGAAAGAAAAAATAACACGACCCTTAAAAAGACATTTAAAAGTAAGTACATCTAAAAAGACAAAAAGGCCCAAGTGCAAAAAATATATTTCTACCCATGTTTCATACTTAGTAATTCTAAAGACATTTAAATATGTTAATTAAAATAATTTAGGGCTTCTCCTAAACATCGTATGGCTGTTCATAATTCAGTGCATGGTGCTCTAATACCTAATACAAACAATTTAAAGAACTATTAGAACTGGTTTTTCGCATATTTCTTAACTTAAAATATTCGGAAATACAGAGGTATGGACGAAAAACAGACATCCGCCATTCTTTTTAGCATTCCTTGATCTGTCCCAGAAAAACATCTGAATATAAAGTTTGGAGGTATTTTTGAGAAAATGATATTTTATAAATTGCATTACTTGAAGCACAAATTACCCTAATATGACCAGTTTTAAAAATGTAGAAGACCTTTTTTAAAGATTAATTTTGTAGAACATTTTGTTTAAGGCAAAAATGTATATCTTCAATTTTCGTGTTTTAAATGTTAACTTTTTGCATTTTTCTAAAATACTGAGAGTTTGACGGAAATCATACTAGCTTTTTAATGTATTTCGATAGATAAGAGAGGGGGAAATTGAAGAAGAAATTTGGAGCTTGATAAAAAAAGTTTAAAAATTGCCTATGTATCTCGCAAAAATACGAGCGAACTACCCATATTTTCGAATAATTGTACATGATACTGTATTAAGACTTACATTTAATAACAGATTTCGTTAAGGAAAACACTATCTTCAATATTGTAGTTGTAGGAAGACACCGAAAATAATTTTGAATTTTTTTGAAAAATAGCTAAAGAAATTTGGCGCTAGCTCTGACCACAGACAGAAGGACACGACGGATGGACAGACGGACAGGTGTTCTTTCGTCAAGCGATTTTTCGGTATCAAAGACCGACAAAATATCGTTTCTGACCACGCAACATGTTGGAGAAAGTCATTTACACTGCTATTTGAGAAAATCGCAACCCCCAGAAGAAGAAGAAGAAGAAGAAGAAGAAGAAGAAGAAGAAGAAGAAGTAATATTACTTCGATGTATATTAACTTTGTGATGTGTATTGATGTATATTAACAACATGTATTTTAACTTTGAGTATTTAGTGCGGTATTTAAAGTAGCTACGCGCTGCCATCAGAGCCTCTAGTGTTGTGTTGTGGCATGGATTCAAAAAGAGTTTGTCGCTTTGAATAACCCTCCTCAACTCACTGGTTCCACACAGGCATTACAGTCGTAGCAGCGTATTCCGTTCGAGACGCAATGTCTTGGAACGACGAACCCGCTTCTCGGAGACCGATCTTTGCCCCGTTGCAACTTACTCAGATGCTGTATTTGTGTACTCACAGGAATATTGAAGTTTGAGGATACAAGATTTGATTGATTTATAAGCAACATTAATGTGAAAGAAATGGTGTCAGACGAAATACTGACTTTAAAATTACTAACACGTGTCTATAAAGTATTTATATACAAATATATTATAGGTATTTGTATTTTTATGTAATGTACGGACGTATTACGTAATTTTATAGAGAATAAACTGTATGTGAATGACCTGTATATGTACAGCAAATATAGGTTACGCGTATACGATTATTATTACATTTTTATCTAGAAATATGCATGTCCCGTTACAGGTTTCAGTATTTTGAAAAATATATTCAGTATTTTGTAATAACGTATATAGATTATTACAGTAGTATTTTAGTTATATTTTAGTATCAGTATTTTTTTTATATTTTTGACATTAAAAAAAATTAAGTACAAATCAGCACACGCAACATGAGTTCAAACCCTTGTTACCATGGTTCTGTGTCGCTCTTATTCGTAAACATACAAAGCCAAAGGCGAGGTTAACGATTCAGGCATACAAATTATTGTGACAGGATAAAACGCATTTGATTGCCAAAAATTGATTTAGTTATCTTATTTCTTTATAGTAGTTACACTAGTCCTAGAAATTTACATATTGAGCTGTTCTTCTGCTTAGAAAAACTGACACAAGTGTAACATCCGTTTTTCTTGTTCTGCTAGCCGTGTACGAACATTATAAGTTTAATAGATAGATGTATCATGCATTTATTTCCTTTTACAAGAGTAACACATTTTTTTTTCTTCAAATATTGATATTAATTTCTTGGAAATTTTAATGATTTCTATGAAATATTCTACGTACAGGTTTCTATGGTACACTTATTGAAAAATTAATATCATAATATACACGTTGACACAAGCGCAATATCACGTATTGACTTGAACGTTATGCAATTAGAATTTGGACATAGGTTAATGAGCGTGACCGAAGATAACTCTTATGTTTACCAGTTAACAATCAATCAACTCTTGTGATTTATATGAGAGGCATGCAGTATTATCTTGGTAAGAGCTCTATCTATACGGAAAAATGTACGAGATAAAATTGGTTATCCTTTATTCCTTTCTCACATTTTATATGATACCTCTTTTGCATTGATAACAGTTAATGTACGTTTAGAGGATACCAGCTTTTCTACATAGCAGTTGCATTTTAATAATATCACTTTTCCCCAATCCTTTTAGAAATTGTAAGATGTTAAAAATGTTAAACAAATCACTTTACAAGGTGACTGAATTGTATGCAAAATACATGTGAGTATTGTAATAAAAAAGAATATTTCAGACCGTGGGAATATTTTTAAAAGCAAAATACTAGATAACATGTGGTGTTAGATGTAGTCAGGAATTGAAATCTCCACAAAAATGCACATAGTTTATTTAAAGATTTTGAAAATAAAGTTTAGTCTTTACAAGTTAACAAGCATAATAATATACTGATTCTCAGGTAAAGAATATACATAAGTCACGCAACAAGAAAATTGAAGTTAAAAATAATTATAATCGTTAATAAGAGCTTAAAGAAGATATATTTTGGCTTTTGCTAAGATTCTTCTTTAAGTGGTTCTTTTATATTAACTATTATGATGAATACGATGACGACTTTTATGTCCTAAAAATGGTGAAATATGCTTTTAAAAATGGACATTTAATACCTAAAAGTTCAGGAATATGCCTACAATTACAAGTTACCAATATGCACCAACAGGAAAAATCGACCAAAGAAGCATTAATAGGCACTAACATTAATCTACGAAGTATCATATTCTAACCAAATGTCAAGAAACTTAGGTATGCTTCAATGCAATAGACAAAAATATGCAAAATTCGAGATTTCGAATGACTGAGCTGCAAAAGCACTCGAAACGTGGTTTGAAAAAATACTTTCTATGCAAAAATTTCAATTCAAAAATATATAAACACTCCAGAAACATGTAAATTTATTTATTATTTTAATTATTTTCAAAGGAAATGAATATATGTTTCTCACGAAAAGAAATTAACAGAGAAGTACAAAAGCAACCTCTTCACACAATTCAATTGCTTTTTCATATCTGTGTTAATGTAGACTTAATGTTAGTTTTAATCTCAAGGCCGTCTTAATCTCATTTTAGGCAATCTGTCAATTTAGAGGATCAATACAATATCTGTAAGTCGATTTCGACAAGGAAGTTGTCACCTGTGTTGAAGTACCATCTGTCTTACTTCTCGTCTGTCCTCACTCAACCCACCATTTATCATCTGTAATTGCATTTTCGATTCTCTCTCTCTTCAATTTCTCTCTCATTCTTTCTCTCTTGTTCTCTTTCCCTCTCTTTCTCTCTCTCTCTTTCTCTCTTTCTCTCTCTCTCTCTCGCTTGCTCTCGCACTCACACGCACCCTCCCTCTCGCTCTCGAGCCCTCTCTCGCGTTGTCTCCCTAAAAAACCCTCATTGATACCGATACCTGTGTATTACTCGATGCATCAATTACGTTATCATTTCCTTTTGGAATGGTTTTAAATAAATATTAAAATTGTTCTGTAAGAATTATTGTAAACGACTTCTGGGCCAATGAGTCCATTTCATTTGTTTTCACTCCGTTTCAGATAAAATTAGTGAGATAATTTTCAGTTAGATAGTTATTGAAACTAATTCGTTATCTTAAGAACATGAACCCTTAATTGAACCATGTAATACGACAGAGATAAGTGACAGATCTTTCAAAGGCGCCCATACTTGCCGGGAGCAGGGTGTTCTGGACATGCTCTCGCAAAGAAGTCAGAAAGTAAATAAGAATAAGAACGATTTATGCAACCGAATGGAACAGACGCTCTACTACTAATTAGTTTCTATTCTCTTGAGTCTGTGCTAGCTTTTCGGTTTTCTCCACCATACAATTTTTGTCTTCCATAAATTTGGCGCCTAAAAAACTTGCCAGAGCTTCGCGCAGTACCTACTTATCCA